GATCGTAGGACGGTGAGCCAAGGTCTGCTTCGCACAATTCAACAGGCAAAAGTCCAAGGCAACCAACCTTCTGTATTCCATGAGGGAAACCTACGAATCCCTTGCACCCGCCTTCTCAACAACCGCCAGCAACAATTTGGATTAAACTTCGCGAAGGCAACTGTAAGAGAATGGGCCTAGTCAAAGTGGAAGAGGTTGGAAAGAAGAACTGAAAGTAGATAAAAGGTAGTGGAAAGATCGGCTTACCCGAATAACAACATCCTCTTCGGCATTAACAATCAGGATGTCGATTGGCTCAAGCTGTGTCTGCTCTGGCGGTGTGGACTCGGCCAAGGCACGCATTGCATTTTTGAGCAGTTCAAAGAACATGTGAAAAAGATGCTCAGGAATATATACAATTGTTATATCGTCTGGGTGTGGCTGAAATCGTTCGGCGGGAGAGGCGAAAAAAGCAACTTTATCAAAGGAAGCCTGTTTGGAGCCTGATTTCGCCGTCGGAGGCACCAGAGCATCGGCCCCTGACAGGTCTATCCGCATTTGTCCATTTGCTTGCGCTGAGACCTTCCGAGAGGAACGCCTGGCTGGCTTGTCCATGCGTCGGCGGTCAATGGTGTGGATGCGACAGCCCGGCGCACGGCCGTAGTAGCGCATGCAGAGCTTATAGGCGCTGACGAAGGCCTCATGCGCCAACTTGGCAGGACTGCAGAAAGGGTCAATGCAGCCGACATACTGATGGCCTAGCTTCAAGTCGGGACCGAAAAGCAGCACTGCACACATAAGATGAGAATGAAAGGAAACAATAGAGCAGACAGGGGCTCTCAGTTGGTGCACATTCCACATCTTCCCTCATGCCAAGAGTTGATATGAAAACCGGCTTTGACTATCGCCTACCGAAAGAGATCAGCTGTTCAGAATGTACAAAAGTGAGCCAAAACATAGTTAAAGGTTCATCGCCAATACAGTCAAATTGACGAGGACGTGCAATGTAGAACACTTCACAATCATCTTTATTTCAATGACGCGGCATTTAAAGTACAATATAACATCTTCACTGAGATAGGAAGTAGCGCAATAAGGAAATATAATTAGAATGATTAAAATGTAAGAGAAGCACTAGATGGGGCTAGTGTGTCAACCTATTTTGCGTATTGATGTCAAGCTATGATGGAATCAAATAGAAGTGAAGCGTTATTTTGGATGGATCTGTTTGGACGTGGGTCCCTCAATTCCAAGCATACTAGAACCAACAAGTACAGACTAGAGATGGTAATTTATAATGTCGCAAAGTTTGTTTCCTCATATATAAGGAAGAATAAGGATAAGCTGCTAAAGCAGCTGAGTATAAGATGTTGATGTAGAGAAGCAAGCCCACTTTAGAAGCACAAGTGGTAATTCACACTTTAATTTGTCAACCCTTTGAAGAGATGGACAAAGATGAGCGACATAATTGAAGTCAAATAAAAGACTACATGTTGAATATATGCATGGTTTATGCAAAATAAAGCATGTTAGATTTCGTCAGATTAGAAAGAAGCTAGTTAAACAATGCTTGTTTTGTAAATAGAGGACCAGGTCTAAGTATGCGGATATATGACCTGAAAAGTGTGACTAAAAAGTCCCGAAGAGGGATAAATCAGCAAGGGATAAAATGAAGTTATCATCAAAAAGATAAAGACCTCATTCTAAATAAAGCCGTAGGACAGTGCTTACGACTGAGGAAGGTGTGATTAGACTAAGAGTAAGCAATCAAAGGTACTAGGGCCAAGATGGCGTGGACTTTACTATGATCATTGCATAGGAGTGGATTGACCTCATTTTCAGAAATTAGCCTTGTTGTCAGATTAATGCACTTTGTCCGGAGTCCTATGCCATAGTATCCATGATAATTTAAGGTTTAACAATGTACTAGGTACACGGTCCGTCACTGGACTCAGGACAAGGTGCGTTTATCTAAGTCCCTCTGGCAATACTAATAAGTTGCGGAAATGAGGTTAAAGCACTGTTATCAGAGTAATCAAATGCATTTCATTTATAATTTCTTTCCAATAACACATAAATAAAGGCGGATAAAAAAAATAAATACACAAATGGTTACAGACAAAGAGTGCCTTCTTAAAGCATGGTGTAGAGCGACTATCACTGGATTCACGTTTGCAATGTGGGAAGATGCATTAGAAAGCTTGACTAATGACAAAACTCAATCTAGATTATGTCTAATAAGCGAATAAATAAATTGCGACACTCCTCAAGAGTAACAGGCCTAAGATGCTTTACCTTAGTACACCAAAAGGTTGTAAGACAAAATCAGATAAGCAAGATAAAAATTGAATGATAGGTAATTAATCTTAGGAAGATACAGGCTTTTAAGGTTAAGTGAGATCTAACACTTTATATCATTAAAGCTAGTATAAAAGGGAAGATTTGCATTTCGTTGAATTATGGCCCTGGCATTGTTTATAATGAGATAAAGAGTATACTCAATCTTCAAGATGAAAACCCGTTTTATGTTTCTCAAAAGTTGGCAGGGTCTTATTATCGGCATCTCTAAAGTTGAAGCAAGAGATAATCACATAAAACACTAACAGAATGAGAAAAGGAAAAAATGCCTTTAAAAACAGAACAAGCCACGCGGGACTTTATTTATCAGATATGTCAACATGGAAATAATGCACTGAAAAGATAAACAAAATCCGGTAATTATAGCAAGGACTTTAACTAAGGTATATGAAACAATTTTAATTTCCTTAATTATATACCGTATGACTGTAGGCCTTACAAAGAAAGCAACTTCGGCTCACAAACACAAACTTACCAAAACCTAGACTTTTTCCCAGTTGTCAGCAGGTCTATTAGTTCTGTTTTATTAATATGTTTAAGCAGCTAGCTGAAAAAATAAGAGCTTACAAGTCTAAGCAATTAATGTTAATGTCTGTCCTCGTAAGTTTTTCCGTACTATAGCAAAGTATTTCTTTCTCGTTAACAAATTTCAGGACTAATATAGATCATATTTCATGGACGTTAGTTTTGTGTAACTGTGGCTTTGGTAAAATTGCCAGTGCAGATCTAGAATATACAGAGAATCCCCGTAAAGTAGAATACAGATGTAAAATAAGACTGAGAATCTAAGTATATTATGAGTCCAACATATATGTACATGTACTTTAGCATTGTCACAGGAGTTAGATCTATAGAAAAGAGTTAACTTCGTTCTCGCATTTTGGTCGTGATCTCATGAAAAACTCGATAAAAAGCTTGTCGAGAGTCTTCTGTCAAATTAGTCAAGATAACTTCCAGCATCGGACCATGGACTTGTTACATTTCCAGACGTTTCGCAGGTATCATCAGTGATCCTTGCCAGTCCTTGCGACAAGCTACAACTCGTCAAAAGAGACAAGTGAAGCCAATTGCTTGAGAACAGAAGGTTGGTCAAGGGATCGATTTCACTTGTCTCCTAGACGAGTTCTAGTTTGGTGCTGAGAATGACAAGACTCACTGACGATGCCAACGAAACATCTGGGAATGTACCAAGTCCACGGTCCGACGCTGGAATCATGATAATTACTGTAGTATGACACGATGAGTCCAACTAGGTCGAAATGAAAGCATAACTAAGTTGCGAAGATAAGTTCAGACCATCTTATAGTATTTATTGTTTATTTAATTGCAAATGAATCAAGTATATTATTAAGCTAAAAGGAGCAACAACGTAATTTTTCATAACTTATTTATCACATAAATTAATTACAAATGAACAAAGTATGTAAACCGGTTATAATAAAAATTTCCAAAACCAAAATAGTTTGGATACTTAAAAGAACACGTTATTATATAGTTAGAGTCCAGAATAATGCCCAAATATGAAGTTCACCTTAAAAAAGAAAGTCTTTTAGACGAAACACGAAATAAGAAGGATAGTTCATTCCAAAAATATTTGAAAGTTTAAATGTGCATTAGATTGCAGATTATAAAT